CGTGCATATTCTTTACGTCGAAGATGACGATAAACATGAAATTCACCGCTACCAGCTCCTGCACTTGATCCCATAACATTTCGTACAAATTCCGGTGGTGTTGCAAATTTTTTCGATTTAGGTCCAACTGGTATTTCAATAGGTTTATCCTAATATCATCCAACATGTTTCATCAAATTCAATTAGTCAAAAGTTTTTGTCAGAAACAAAATTCAACTCACAATATTGGCCATCAATTTTTCCAAACGAATTTTCTGAACATCGGTCGCTGTAAATGGATGATATTTTTTTCTCTTCTCTTCATCATCACTATCATCATTATCAAAATCTGCCATTTTTCGTTCCATTTAATTTTTAAAAATTTTTTACAAAAAAAAATGAAAATTTTATTCAAAAAAAAAAAACAAACATCAATAAACGACTATTTCGACCCCGACAACAACAAAAATAACAACTCGCGAAACTTTTGAATTTTGGTTTATAAATTCGAATTTGGTTTATTTCAAAAACAAACAAAAAAAAATTTAAAAATTATCATTTCATTTAATTTTGATGATCATTTTTAGATATACGACCAATAAATGAATTACGAAATGAACCATAATAGAGATCACCTTTTGAATCGATAATTGCTTCAGATATGCCAAAAAATTTATCTGATCCAAATATTTGTTTAATTTGGCCAGTTTTCGAATCAAGACGAATAACAGCACCATCTCTTTTTGGTAATGTTTTATAAACAATATGACCAGTATAAAGATCATCACGTAATTGTTTGATTGTATCCACCGAAATAACTTTGGTATCGATATAATCCATAAGAAGATAAAGTACATAAGCTGTACGTGCAAATGATTTACGAATAAATGGCCATTGTGATAGATAATCACGTAAAACTTTACTATGTGGTCGAACGGTAAACATACCGATCAATAAATCACCGGTTGATTTATCCAAACGAATATTATCCACTTCACCGGGTAAACGTTGTCCAAATAATTCTAATTGATTTGCTTTTAATGGTGATTGTTTTGAATGAAATATTTTCCGTGCCATTTCTAAATCAATTTTAGCAATTGAAAAATTATTTGTTTGACAAACAAGAAGATATTTTTCATCGACAGTAATTTCAATACCATTAGCCAATGCAAAACCATCGGCTATTCTATGCGATTGTCCTGTTTGAAGATTTATTGCCAAAACATAACCCGATTGATCATGTTCAATGATTGACCAGGCAATACGATCCAATTTCCATTTACTGCTTGAAACTGTAATATAAACAATTTCTGAATGTTTTGGATCAAATACTAGATCATTAATGATTGCCGATTCATTTTCTTGTATCAGATTTTTACTCAAATGAATTAATTCTTTTTTTCTCAAATCAACACGATAGATTCCGGTATTTGCTTCAACAACATATAAATCATTGCCATGTTCACGAAGACCTAAAAATCGTCCACAATTTCCAGCTTTTAATTTTTCATGTTCTAACAAACAGAAACAAAAAATCAACAACAACAATAATCCTATCAATTTGTTTTAAAAATCAACAAACTTACGACATTCTTTGGATCGATTAAAACGAACAATTTCATCAATCTGTTTGGTTTGTTTATTGATACGAATAATACGACCACCAAGTACACCGGTATAAATATAATCATCCAAATCGGCTAATGATTCTGGACCATGTATTTGATCGATGGCTAACATTTTGGCTTTATTGACTAGATGATTATTCCATTCAATACCCATTAATCCTTTATAAAAATGTTCATTATCATATTGAATTGGTTCGATTGGAAAATCATTGAAAAATTGATCCGGTAATAAACCCAATATTATTGATATGACGGTTGTATAGAATAGAATATCAAATGTTGTTTTATAAAGTGTTGAAAATAAATCTTTGATTTGATAGGCCATTTTTTTTTGTTCATCAATCAATCAGGAAAAAAAAATATTGTTGCTACGGTTTTTGATTTTTGATGACAGAAATTCAATGTTTTTTTTCTGTTTCTCGTTCACCATACAAGGAAATTTTATGAAAACAAAAAAATAATGATCGCAGGAAAACAAAAAAAAAATCACTAATTTTTTTTTTCCTTCACTGATTGATTTGGTTGATTGACGATTGTGAACAGAGCGAACGAATGTGAGACCTGTTGATCAATGAGAGATGTGTTGTATGTTTATTCACCAAAAAAAAAAAAAAAAAATGTATGTCGTCATCGTCGATGCTGAAAAACTAAAAAATTTTACATTGAATTTACAGCCAGGCAATTGTTGTTGTGTNTTGTGAACAGAGCGAACGAATGTGAGACCTGTTGATCAATGAGAGATGTGTTGTATGTTTATTCCCCAAAAAAAAAAAAAAAATGTATGTCGTCATCGTCGATGCTGAATAACTAAATAATTTTACATTGAATTGACAGCCAGGCAATTGTTGTTGTGTATACACAATGTTTACAAGGAAAAAAACCAGATTTTTTCTTTCTTTTTTCGCTCATTTTCTTTTCTTTTTTTTGTTGACTCTTTTCCTTCGTTATTCAGGTAATGAATGATGATGAGATGGGAAGAAGATGGTGATTCGAACAGAACAGCAAATTTTTTTTTTGACAAAATAAAGAAAATTTTTTTTATTATTATTTTGTAATAATTTGCGATTACAAAGAAATAATGGTCAATTATTGATGAGGAAATCAACAATTTTCATCTTCAATTGTACAGAATTTATCATTTTCAATTTTATTGTTGTTGTCGTCGATGAGGGAAAATTTTCGTAATTCATTTTGAAATGTTGTTGAATGTTTTTTGTTGTTGTCGCCATTATCACCATCTTCATTGTTGATTGGAACAATAATACGACCTAAATATTGATTTGAATATGAACCAATATAATAATATCTTTCTTTACCATTATTATGATATTCATAAATTTCAGATAATTGACTTGTATGACCATCAGGTGAATGTAATGATCCAATCAATCGACCATTCGAATCTATTTCGACAGCCATACCATATTCAGCAACAAATGGATACATAAAATTTGCAACACGTATATTATGACCAAATTGTTTCAAATAATCATTATCATTGAAAAATAATGATAATAAATTGGCAATAGTTTCGATCAGAAATCCAAATAAACGTATCAGACGAAAATATGTTCTTTTCAAATATGGATGTCTGGCCATTATATCCAAATAAAATGATGGTTTATATTGATTTCTTCCGGTAAATAAACCAATCCAATATGTTTCATGGTTTTTATTTAATGATCGTTTAATATTATCTGGTTCACCTGGTAGACCATCAATCAATATATCATAATGTCCAGGTCTATCTAAACGATATCTTAGTATACGTCTTTTATTGAATTCATTTATAAGGATTGTTGTTCCGTTATCATTAAGGATTAATCCATTTGGAAATGCTAAATTATCCAATTCAATTTGTAGTTGTTTTGTTTTAAGATTAAATGATAATAAACGACCAGTTTGATCCATTTCACCAACAGTAAAATAAACATCATGCAGTAACCATTTTTGACTTGCATCAGTCATATATATTATAATTGTATCATTTTTTTCAATCAAAACTAAATCATCTAAAAATTTCGGTATTGTACCATCGGATAATCGATGTTCACTAATATTCATTACTAATTGATAATGGCCATTTTCAATATTAATTTCAAATATACCATGATATGGATCAACAGCATATAATTGTCCTTTGGTTGAAAATCTTATACCTAATGGTCGTGAACAATAACCACTTGCTGATTGATAGTTTTTTCGACATTCTTTTTGGCTAAGATTTTCTGGATTTAAATATGTAATCGTTCGATAGTGATTCGATAATAATTGTATTATTCGTCCATCGGCTATACTTGCATAAACATTTCCTTTTATTTTCATTTAATGTAAAATATGAATGTAAACTAAACATTATCATCATAAACATACCATTCCATGTTGCAAATGATTCAGGACCACGAATTTCATCAACATAAAGATGATCAGCTAATGATAACCAACGATTAGCCAATAATGGACCATTAAATGATTCGGGTAATTTTACGCTGTGTGATTTGAAATTAACAACAAAAATTTTCAAAAAACAAAACAAAACTTACTCATAAGTTTTAGCCAAAATATCAAAACCAAATAATAATTCAGTATCAGGTATGATTGCCGTTGCAATTATCAATAAAATCCATGGTATTATTATGATAAAAACGATGGTCGGACAATTTTTCAACATTTTTTTTCTCAAAACTCTTCACCCTTGATGATTACCATTCGAATGTTTTTTGGCAAACGAAAAAAAATCGAACGTTTTTGACACCACCACCACCACCGATTGAGCAACGACAACAATCATCATCATTTTCGATAAAAATGACCGATGAAAAAAAAAAATTTTTCAAATCAAAAATAAAGAAAAAAAACAAAAACAACAAAGGTTGTTGACTTTTATTCATTCACAAAACATTCAAAGCAGAAAATCAAACAAGCAAGCTTTTTTTTTGTTTGGTTGTTCATTCCAATGTTTTTTGTGTAAAGAAACGAACTTGTTTAGCATATTCATCCGGATGATTACGCATCTGTATGGCTGCATCAACATTTGCCGGTGATTCAACATTTGGATCACTTAACATTGAAATTACTGACATAACAATAGTTTCAACTGAATAAACTGGTGCCCAACGTTGTAAATTTTCTTCATAACCAAATGTTTGTAAATTTGGATTATGCAAAATTGATATACAAACATCACCAGATTTTGAAATATTTGGATGCCACATTTCGGATAAGAAACGCATTTTTGGTGGTGAATCCGGAAAATTTGATGGAAATTGTAATTGTGCTTTAAATAGACCACCTTCATACAGTGTATCACGTGGTCCAACAATCATTATTTCCCATAGAAATATATTCGATTCATCAACCAAACCAACACTAAAATGATCATTTGGTTTTTTCAATAATTGCCTTAATTGATTATTCAATATTATAATTGCTTTATTACGGTTATTATTACTATGGCTAATTTGTCTATGATGTTGTTGATTATTTTGATTATTATTATTTTGATGAATTCGATTAGTCTTTGATTGAAACGATGACGATGATGACGTTTGACGATCTGAACTCATCAAATAGATTTTTTTATTTTCTTTTAAAACTTTTTTTATTTTAAAAATTTCTTTCATTCAACCGAAACTACTATAAATATGGTAAACGAAGGATTATTGTTTGTTTTTTTTATTACAAATAAACAAAATTAGAAAATTAGATTATTTTGTTGTTGTTACAAACAAGTCAATCAACGAAATAATTGAAATCTTTTTGAAATTGTTTGACCATTTTTATTCTGTAATAATGATTCAATTTCATCGATTGTTGGTAATTGTTTTAAATCACCTAATGCAGCAATTGATGCTCGAGTTTTTAACATTTCCCGTGCTACACGTATTAAATCATCTTCGCTAACTTTATCAATACGATCAATATAAAATTGTGGTTGCCGACGTTGTCCACTGGATAAAACTTGTCGACCAATATCTTCAAACATTACCGGCCGAGCTTCTAAATTCATTAATAACATTGATTTTAATTGATTTTTTGCCCGCTTCAATTCATCATTGCTGATACCATTATTAGTTAGTGAAACAATTTCCGACAAAATTACCATAACTAATTCACGTAATTGTTTTGGATGTGCTGATGCATGTATACAGAACAGGCCACTATCTTGATATGAATGATTCAATGCTGTTGCACTAAACATCCAATGATAAAGATTCAAAACACGTGTATAAAGTCTGGTGTACATTCCTTTTCCAGGGCCACCAGCTGAAAATGAACCACCACCACCCATTAATATATTCAGAACACAGATTGGAACAAAATTATCCAAATCTTGATGTGATACTGATTCCAGACCGATAACAAAATGTGCCAATTCAGGCATTGGTGTTGGACCAAGACTAATATCGGAAAGATCTTTTGTTACGGCATTAACACCACCAGTATATTGTGATATTGAATCATCTAATTCAATACTACGATTTAAATGTGTGGAAATCGCCGTGTCAGATTCCCAAATTGGTTTACGTTGGACGAAAAATTTTTCAGCCAATTCTACCAGACGATCATGTTCAACACCAACACCAGCAATAACCATTCTTTCAGGACGATGATAAAGATTTATATAATCAAAAAGATCATTTCGTTGAATAATATTGATATTTTCCTCACTGCACAGCCGATTCAAACCCAATGTATTTCCACGATAAGCTGCTGAATGAATCATTTCATGTAGAATTGGTTCAGGATCTGGTCTCATATCTAAATCTTGTAGTTCAAATTGAATCATACGACGTGCAAATTCCATTTCCATATCAGTAAATTTTGGTCGCAAAACAGCTTCAGATAAAAGATGCATAACTGAATCTAAACCTTTTGAATGTACACTTGCAGCATAGATTAATGTATCACGTGAACCTTGACAATCACAAATACCACCATATTTTTCTAATATTTTCATTATTGAATCTTTACTATCGAAATCTTCAGTCGAATTGAATGCTAACTTTTCAATAAAATGTGATATACCATTTGGATGATTACGTTCATAACGTGAACCAGAATCAATAACCGTACCGATTGTACAAAATTGACCAAATTTATTTTGTGATGCAACTCTTAAACCATTACTAAGTTTTGTGATTTTTGTTTCCAATTCATCTTTTTCAGTTTTACGATAAATTGGTGTAGTGAAATCTGTAAAAATACAAATTTATTATGTAATCAAATCAAATGTAATTCTCCAATCAATCACATACTTTCAGGTTGTTGCGATAATGGCGTCGTTTTCAATGAATCATCATGACGTTTTCTACTGAATGATAATAAATAATTTGACGATAATCTTTTGGTATTATAGGATTGTAAAATTCTTTTCGAATTACGAGATAACATGATTAATGATCGGTGATGAGAATTTTTGTTTTTGGAAAAATACTTTCAACAACAAAAAAAATAAATCACATGGACAATGTCTATTTATACATCATTGGAACTGATTGGATTAGGATAGTCATGATTCGAATTTTATTTCATTTCAAAAAAAAAGTATTTTTTAAAAAAATTAAAAAAAAAATTACATTTTTTCCACAGTTTCAATTCCTAAAATTTTTAAACCAGTTTCCATAATTTTAACGGTTGCTTCACAAAGAATTACACGATTCAAATTGATTTTTGTTTCATTATTATCAATTTTTTCAATAACATAACATTGATCATAAAATTCGGTAAATATTACTGATAAATCAAATAGAAAACGACATAAAAGATGTAAATATAAATTATCAACAATTTGTATGATAATATCCGGAAAATTTAGAATAAATTTTGCCAATTTAATTTCTCTTGGATGATCCAATTGAAATGAAGAGTTCTTGGATAATTCTTGACCAATATCGTTGATCGAACGATTCAAATTACAATTTCTTATAATCGAACGTATACGAGTGATTGTATAAAGAAGATAAACAGCCGTATTACCTTTATCATCTAACATACGATCAAAACTAAAGATATAATCATTATTACGATCATGTGAAAGATCAGCATATTTTATACATCCGATGGCAATTGCTTTTTGTGCAATGGTCATTTCTTCATCGGTCAAAACTTTATCACGTTCTTTTTCCAATAATTTTTGCCGTGAACGTTCTAAACCTTCATTAATCAAATCTTTAAGTTTAACAGTTTCTCCGGAACGTGTTTTAAAACGTTTACGATCTTCACCAAGTACAACACCAAATGTAAGATGATCAAGACGTACTTTGTTTGGATCATAATAACCACATATTTCGGCACAATCAAAAAATGATTTAAAATGTACAGCCTGTCCGGCATCCGTAGTGTAGATAATACGTGATGCATTTTCTTCCTGAACGCGTTGTCTTATAGCAGCCATATCTGATGTATCATATGTAAAACCACCATCCGATTTAACAATGGTTAATGGTGGTACTTTTGAATTTTTTGGATAAAAAACTTTACGACCATCTTCTTCAACCAAAAATCCACGTTCTTCAAGATCTTTGACAACATCAATCATTCGTTCCTGATAAAATGATTCACCACGTTCAATCAGATTTTTACTTATATTTAATAATTGATAAATTTCAGCAAATTCTTTACGTGAAATATCGCAAATCATTTTCCATGCATCAATCAACTTTGGTTCTTTTGATTGTAATTGAACAGTTGTTTCTAATGAACGTTTTTTAAAATCTTCATCATCATCAAAACGTTTTTTTGATTGTTTATAAAATGTTTGTAAATCTTCGATTGGTGGTGGTTTTGATTGAAAATCTGGATAAGTATCCATTAAATGTGTTAATAACATACCAAATTGTGTACCCCAATCACCAATATGATTGATACGTAAAACATTATGGCCAACAAATTCCAATAAACGTGCAACACTATCACCAATAATTGTTGAACGTAAATGACCAACATGCATTTCTTTGGCAATATTTGGTGAACTATAATCAACAATAATTGGCCGATTATCATCACCATCACCGTTCGAATTGGAAAGATTAATATGAACATCATTCAGGATAATTTCCAAAATTTTATCGCAAAGAAATTTCGGACTTATGGTAATGTTTATGAAACCCGGTCCCGAAACAGTAGTATTTTCAATAATATTATTCGATTCTATTGAATCAATAATCATTTTAGCAATTTCAACCGGGTTTTTTTTATCCGGTAATAATTTTTTCAATTTTAATGCATTATTACATTGAAAATCAGCATAATCACTACGAGTAAATTCAACAGTAACATTCGGCAATGTTGGAAATGCTTTTTCAAATGCATTCTTGAAAATACGTTCCAATTCTTTCAGAATACTAATCATATTTGGTTGTTGTTGTTATGGTTGTTTGTGCTTTTCAGTCAACTTAGAAAATTCAAAAGAACTTCAGGAATTCAAATGTTTTTGAAAAAAAATTTTTTGGATAAAAATACAGATTTCGCCGACACGTGTAACACAAAAGAATCTATTTGTCTGTATAGAATAATATCGAGAGATGGCGACACTTTTGCCCTTGAAAAGATATATAGAATTTTGAAAAAAAAATTCGAATCGAACCGGCGCATTTCAAATTTCGAACGTTTTTTTTTTGACGACGATAGAATCGAACATTCTGTTCTGTTTTGTCTGTGTGTGTGTGTGGTTCACCTTTCATCGTGTTGTAGGTTGTGTTTATATCGACCACAGCTGTTTTATCTGATCAAATATCTTTTGGTTGTAGTGGTTTATTTTTTGCATCAAGAAATAAGATGATCAAGACCACCATCCGATTTGAATTTCAGCTCAAATTTTATGAATGAATCGAGTGAGAAAAATCGATATAATTTTAATCTTGTTTGATCATCATCGCCATACATATCATTATTATTATTATTTACAACCGCATTATCATTATCATTATTTTTGTTGTTGTTGTGGTTGATGATGATTATCATTATCTAAACTTGTATAATGAAGGTGATGATTATTATTTCCTGGTAATTTATTTGTATGTGATAAACAAACACAAAAACATTTGCAAATTTTTCCAATCATCGATAAAAATGGATGAATAAATTGATAAATATGGGTAAGTAGTTGAATTTTATTTTCTTCACTATGATGATGACTTATAGTTGAGTGAGGTTAGGTTGATGACTATGACTATGACCATGATTCATAGTTGAGTGAGGTTAGGTTGATGACTATGACTATGACAGTGATTCATAGTTGAGTGAGGTTAGGTTGATGACTACATGACTATGACCATGATTCATAGTTGAGTGAGGTTAGGTTGATAACTATGACTATGACTATGATTCATAGTTGAGTGAGGTTAGGTTAGGTTGATGACTATGATTCATAGTTGAGTGAGGTTAGGTTAGGTTGATGACTTTGACTATGACTATGATAGAAAGGAACGCAAAAAAAAACTTCGGAAATAAATTGAAAATTTTTTTTTTTAAAAACTTAATTCATCAATGTAAATGTCAATTTTTGGTTATTGCATCCTACTTTGGTTGTTATGTCATTATTATTATTGTAAGGGGTTGTTGTTGTCATACAAAGACAAAAAGTTTTTTAAAATTAATGATGATGATGATGATGATAATAGTGTTTCCCTTCCTTGTTTTGAAGTGTTTGTTTTGCTATTATTATTCATCAAACATTTTTTTGTTTCTTTCAAACAAAAAATACATGATTAATAATAGGAACGATGAAGAAGAATAGCATTGTCATTCTGGCAAACCAAACAAACAAAAAATATTTTCTTTTCTTTTCTTTAATAGAATTAGATGTGGTTATTGTTGTTGTTGTTTCGTTTGGTTCGATCATCATTAAGATGTTAGACCAGTTTTGTCCTTGTCTATTTTTTCCGGTATTCATCATTATTATTATTTTGTTGCTTGAATTTTACATTTTTTTTCCAAAAAAAAAAATGTTGATATTTCCAATTGACCTTTATTTTGTTTTGGTTGTGGTATTTTTTATGTAATCACAACAACAGCAACTGAATCGTATCAAGATAATTGTATCGGGAAATCATCATTATCATTGTTGATAATGGTAGTGATGATAATGATAGATAGATAGATAAATGTACCCTCCTTTAAGTAAATATTTCGTGATAATAATGTCGTTGAATGAATGATGATGATGATCATCATCATCTTAATGACTTGTTTTTTTTAGCTATTTTTTTAAGTACAATTTGTCAATTATCTTAAATGAGTTGGGTATATACCAAAAAAATAAAGGTCAATTGGACATTTTAAAAAGCCAATCTGGGTAAATTTCTTTTTTCGTTTTTTTTGAGTAAACCAATATGATTCATTACATATAAATGAATGGAATGTATGTCGAATTGATGATGATGATGATGATGATGGTAGTTTTTCTTTTTACAGAAAAAAATGTAATTCAATCATTTTAATAATTCACATTATAACTAAATAAATTGCCCAGATTCTTTCAATGATAATGATGATTATGAAATTAATAAATCAAATTTTTATTGATTTTTCGCAACGAAAAATCTTTTCTTTGTAAATTTAAAAGACTATATATATTAAAAGAATGACCGTTATTTTAAATCTTAATCTCAGATCAAAGATGATTATTAGTTTTTTTGTTGTTGAAAAGATCCAAACGATAAAAATCATTATTATTATTAAACAATCAATTTTTCACTTAATCAGTCATATTTCATTCAATCTTTTTTAATCACTATATTTGTTCATTTGAAGATAAAGGTAAATTTATTGGCAATTCATCTATCCATCCACCATCACACAGGTAAACAAACTAGTTTCAAAATGAGATGTTGTTGTTGTTGTTGATGTTGAAGAAAAAAAAAAGAGAAGAGAAAAAATAGGAATGAAAGGGAGAGAATCTTTTTCTTTCATTCATTCATCGCTCTTCAATTCGTTATTGAAAGCGAAGAAAAAAAAAGAAGAAAATTTTTGAAAAATACCCATCATCATTCATTCATTCATTGATGAAGAAATCGAATCAACAAAAGCAACAACAACATGATGATGATGATCAATTCTTTATTGCTATTCGAAATGATCACATCGTTTTTCGGATTGAATGTAAAAGATTTGATTTTTATTTTTGGAAAATGATGTGTTAATTTGATAAAAAGTGTATGTCGATTTCCCATTTGATAATTTGCTTTTTGTTTTACTTTCAGATTTTCAATTATCAATGACAATTATCCATAGTGGATAAATTAGTGATTTTTTCGATAAAAAAAATGTCTGATCAAAATGATAATTCAAATGATCAAAAACTTATATCAACAACATCATGTTCATCATTATCACTTCCGGATAGAATATTATTATCCAATTCGAATTTACAGAATTCTGGATTAAGATCATCATGGTGTTCAACATCATCATCATCATCATCAACAAAATCATCACAGCCAGAAATGGCTAAAAAAATTATTGAACCATCCTCATCATCGACATCCTCATCAACATCATCATCATCGGCAATGAATGAAAATTTCGAAATTTTTATTCATCAAATGAATAATGATAATAATAATTTTTGTAATCATCCCAGGAATGATTGTGTTAGTGGTGGTGGTTCGGCTAGTATTGATCGAATCAAACAGAATAAATATATTGAAATAAGTAGAAATGTATTACAAATGCATTCATTGGTTGATGAAAAAGTTAAAACAATGAATAATTATGATAATGAATTTGGAAAACAACAACTTCAAAATTCATCTATATTTTCGCGAATGAAGAAAATTATTTCAATTGAAAATTTCAATTCGGATTATTGTCGTCGTTGTTCACCAATCAATTCAATACGTTCACATATTCCTATTGTAGAATGGTTACCAAAATATCAATGGCGTTCATATTTATGTCCAGATATTATTGCCGGTATTACTATATCAATATTACATATACCACAAGGTATTGCATATTCAATGTTGGCCGGTTTACCACCTGTACATGGATTATATGTATCATTTTTTCCGGTTTTGATTTATGCATTATTAGGTACATCACCACATATATCGATTGGTACATTTGCTATTGCTAGTATTATGTTGAATAATATTGCTATGAAAATTGGAACAAAATTTGATAATGATAATAATAATATTTCGCCCAAAAATGATACAATGATGATTACAATGACCCCAACACAATCTAGTTTAGCAACTGTCAATACGCCAATGATGATGATGATGATGAACAACAACAATAATCAACCAACCACACTTGAAATATTAACCAGTGTCTGTATACTTTGTGGTATTATTCAAATAATAATGGCATTAATGCGTTTAGGATCACTTTCATTGATTCTATCTGAACAACTTGTATCAGCATTTTCAACTGCTGTTGCATTTCATGTTGCTACATCACAATTATCATCAATTTTTGGTTATAATAATTTAACATTAGCTAAAAGTGGACCATTAAAATTAATCAAGGTATGTGTCTCATGTATGAATCTTCTATAGGGCTATTCTTATCTTCGAGAATGAATTTATTTATTGAGAAAGAAAAAGAAATTTTAAAATTATTATCCAAAAAAGAAAAAAGAATTATGGGTGAAAAAAACAACATTTTGAAAGGAATAAAAAAAAGTCTTAGAGATAGTAATCATCATTGTTAGCGAGATAATAATAATTAACAAGTTTTTTATTAGTATACAAGGTGTTTGATATAAAATCTTGCCCACTGGTTCATTATTCTTTACATCACACATCCACTTTATTGATCGATCAGGTTCGATGATGATCATCAATCAAATGAACGAAATAAAAAATGAACGTTCTTTTACTCGCTCTCTGTCATTGCACGAACAAGAAATTTCTCCTTTGGTTTTTTTCTTTAAAAAAAAGAAGATTGCATAGCAAACAAAAATTAGAAAGAGAGATTTTATCTTTTTTTTTCGATTATTATTTTTATTCTAATTGTTTTTTGTTTATAGTTTTTTTTCACGACAAATATTATGACTATAATTAGCTTCTTTTTTTTGAAAAAAATATCGATGATACGCTTTTATAAAATTGTTGTTAATTTTCTTCAATAAATCAATTATGGTTTTTTTCTAAAATATCGGTTTTTATGATGATGAAAATGACTTTTATCACTTTTACCATTCATGAAATGAACCAAAAATGAAATGAAAAAACGGATGATTTATTGATCATAATCAATGTTTTAGTTATTGATGATTTTAATTTCATTTTTGTTCCCCTTTTTAAAGTGTGAACACGGAGTGTGTTAAATTGATAAATCTTTTTAAATTTAATTTTATACCATATCTAAATGTTTAATGTCGTTAATTTTCTATTTTTGTTATTTTTATTTTCTTTTTTTTTAAAAAAATGAAATTGCTGACCGACAGACCTGGATAATATTGGCTAAACATTATGATCAAATCAATTTATACTGTTTAATATTTTCAATAATATCCATTACAATATTAATCATTTCAAAAGAGTTATTGGAATCTAGATTGAAACATTTCACCTCATTTCCATTACCGATTGACCTTATTTTAGTGATAACAACGATTTTGTTGTCATGGTTGTTTCAATTTAATCATCAATTTGATATACAAGTTGTTAAAAACGTGCCTACTGGGTTAGTAATTTTTTTTTTCAATGATCAATGTCAATTTGTTCGAATGATGATGATAAAATGTATAATTTTCTCTATAGTCTACCAAAACCAACTGTACCACGATTCGATTTGATATCAAACATATTTTTCGATTCATTGATTCTGAGTATAATTTGTTTTGCCGTTTCATTATCGTTGGCAAAAATATTTGCCAAAAAACATGGCCATCATATTCGTCCGAATCAAGAATTATTTGCACTTGGTACGGCCAATATATTTTCATCATTTTTCCTGGCCTATCCATGTTCGGCTGCTTTATCTCGTTCAACATTACAGGAAAAAATTGGTGGCAAAACACAAATTGCCGGTATTATATCATCAATAATCATATTAACAGTGTTGCTTTTTCTAGCACCATTTCTATATCATTTGCCTAAAGTAAATTGATATTTAAATTTTGTTTGTTTGTTTGTTTTGTAAAATTTAGTTTAATTTATTCAAACATTTTTTTCCTGCTTAGTTTACATTATCATGTATCGTATTGGTGGCATTGAAATCAATGTTTCTACAGATAAGTGATGTAAAAATTTTCTGGCTTATTTCACGATTAGATGGGGTATGTTTTTGATTTATAAAATGTAAATAATTTCAATGGGAAATTTTCAAAAATTTGACTAAATAGGCAGCATGGATAATTACATTTTTATCGGTAATTATTCTTGATATTGATTATGGTCTAATTATTGGAATTATTTCATCAATATTGGTTATACTGATCAAATTAACATTGTAAGTTTTTTTTGGAAAAGGCCTTTTTTTCACCATTATTTAATCCATTTATCCATTTAGTCCTAGAATATCAATACTTGGTCATTTAGTATCAACAGAAATTTATTTGGAAAAAGATAGCTACAATAATTTATTGGAATATCCAAGCGTAAAAATCTATCGTTTTTGTTCACCATTATTTTATTTAAATGTTGATTCATTTAAAGAAAAAATTATTGATTCATTAATCAATAACAATGATGATGATGATGATGATTGTCATGATTTTAAAGCATTGATTCTGGATTTTGGTGGTATGCCATTTATCGATAAAACTGGTATCGATATGTTGATCGAAGTGATTAAATCATTACAAACCAAACAAATTCAAACATGTTTAGCAAATTGTCCACATCATATTATTCATACATTAAAAACGGGCGATTTTTTTACAAAAATTCAAAAACATTCAAAATATAGTTGTAAATTATATCCAACCATACATGATGCTGTGATAAATTATTGGTGAAAAAAACAAAACAAAATAATTTTGATTGTTATAATTTTTAAAATTATTTATTTCGAAAATTTTTATTAATAAAAATTATTATTTTTCGTTTGATGAGCTAAACAGCCACCAAATAAAATATCACCAAGATAATGACATTGAAAATGGCAGTGTGGTGGTGGTGGTGTTGCCAATCTTTGACTATAATTTTTGAAGAAGAAGAAAAAAATGATTTCCAAAAGTTTCTTTTTACAATTTTATAAATAAATTTTTTATAATAAGAAAATCAACAACAACAACAACAAAAAAAATCAACAAAAAACAACACAGGGGTTGATTATATAATGATTAAACAAACAAAAAAACAAACATATCAGGAATCGGTTGTGGTCGTTGTAAAAATATTGCTAAATATATTTGAGCCATTCATCATTAATGGACTTGATAATGGTGATGATGGATTCGATGATTCATGGGTTGTTGTTTTCAATGTTGAATGATGATGTTCATGATGATTATGATTATGATGAATAAAACCATTTAGTTGATTGATTTTTCGAAAATTTTTTGTTGAAAATTTTAATGCATTTCGATCGATTATTGCTTCATCCCAAGGACCATAAATATTACTACAACAGTAAGTGGGGGTTAATTATTTTTAAAAAATTAATTAACACTTTACTTACTCTTTTAATATTTGCATACGAAGAAAAATATATGGACAAATTAGATTAATAAATAATACGAATATTATCGAGGCAAAAAAACCAACCAAACCAAATGTTAATAAAATTATTGTTAATGTTATAATTGTAAATAATATTGTTGTAAATAATTTTATTCGTCGTTCGAATGATTGATATAATAAACTGATCAATACGAACAGGTCGGTAGAAAATATTAGAAAAGCAAAAGCATGATAAGTAGTTGATAAACGTGATGCAAGACAAACCGAAGCGAAAAATATTGCATTCAATGATATTGATTGGCTAACCATTGCTGCATCCAAACCATAATCATGAAATGCTAAATGAACAAATGCCATTATCGTACATTGAGCATAAATAGTATCCGTACTGATTGTTTCGGTTAATGTTTTTAATACCGGACTCATTGTAAAACAGGCGATTAAAAATATTAAACAACTTTTTATCTGTATTATTTCTATAGGTGAAAAAAAGATGGTGAGAAAGTTGTAAAAACAAATCAAGAAGATTGAATTTACCTTGAAATTTCGAAGAAATAAATATAAATGAATACAAGAATATGGTGACTAAAGCAACAATTGTAAATAAAATATGATCATATTGATCATAGGAATCAAAATAGATAAACATCATAATCAGAATAACAATCAATATTATCTGTTGTGTAACAATACTAGCTGCAATAATTATTTCCATTAAATGAAAACGACGTAAATTTACTGAATTTTGAAAAAATTATCATTAAAATCAATGAAATAATCAATCAATCAAAAAGGACAAACCATTTTTTCTTAAATCTTTAAGAAATGTTGGTGGAACATAATTATCCGGAACACCTTGATGTTTATAAAGAACTTTTTGCCATTCTTTATGATTTTTTCTATGACTAGACGATGTTGATACTGATTGTTTAATCGATGAATTATGATGATGACCATTCGAATCAAATTGGAATGAATCTTTTGATTGTTTTTGTTGACAATAATCATTATTATTATTATGAGCAGCAGTAACAATATGATGATTCGATTTGATTGTTTTGGATGAACGACGATGATTTAGATGATTTAAATGATGATTACTGCTGCTGCTGCTATTTGAAGAAATATAACCATTAGTCATCGATTGAAATGGATTAATATGATCCATTAAATCGGGTATAGATCCAACCATATTATTTTCTTTTTGAATGATGATAATTACAGAATGATCGGTAATTGTAAATTTGAGCGATACATATCGTTTTGATTTTCATCAACAAAAAAAAATTGATTTTTTTGTTTTTTTGTTTTGCTGGAGAGAGAGGGGAGTAGCATCTGAAAGGAAATGTAATGTATCAAACAAACAAAATGCAAAATGCAAAATGCCATAAGTAGGCCGACATTAATGAAAAAAATTAACAATATAAAAAAAATTTTTTGATAATGTCAATGGTAATCTTCTAAAATTTAGAATCTAAATGGATTTTTTTCTGTTGTTTATTATTGGTGGTGGTGGTGGTGGCAAATTGTGCTCGCCCTTCGTTTTGTGCTTAAATGCGTGTGTTTGTTGTTGTACGCGTATCTGTATATACTGTTTTGCAAGCAGCATATGCCAATCTCTCTCTTTCCAATCTGTGATGTCATGGAAGCCAAATTGTTGATAATAATCACAATTTGAATCCAACCACCATCAAACAATCAAACATCGATTGATTGATTGATTGAAAAGATTTATGGTGAGGACGAAAAATTTTTTTCGAAAATCAGCTGATTTGATTTTCAGGTTAGCTCATTTTGTTTTTCCACATGTGATCTGATCTGTTTTCAAAGATTCATTTTTTCCGACTGAATAATTCTGAAACGAAAAACGAAAAAAACAATGTTACATCATTATTCAAATATTCATTGTTTGGCTTCATTGGCTATCTGTCAATTTACCAGAAAATGTCATCAAATTTATCGAAAAAATCATTCATCAACGATGTTGATGATGAAACATAAAAAGAAAACAATGTTGGCATTTAGTTTTGGAAGTTTTTTTGGTTTGTCGAATTCTTCGAATGATAATCCTTATAATTCAAATTATGAATTTATGTCCGAATCAATAACACCAAAAGATGAATTATTATTATTAGCAAAAAATGGTTCAATGCGTCATCAATTTGAATTATTTGTTATGCAAGTTCAACAAGAATTTTGTCAAGCACTGGAATCAATGGAACAAAAATATACGGATGAAATTGATGAAACAAAAATAAAACGATTTCAATCTGATCGTTGGTTGAGAGAAGAAGGTGGTGGTGGTATCACTTGTATCATACAAGATAGTACCGTATTTGAAAAAGCTGGTGTTAATATATCGGTTGTACATGGACAATTACCACCACAAGCAGCTGCACAAATGCGTTCACGTGGTAAATATCTTTCCACTACGGAACCATTAAAATTTTTTGCTACTGGTGTTAGTTCAGTTATTCATCCACGGAATCCAAATGTACCAACATTACATTTTAATTTTCGTTATTTTGAAATTGAATCAAATGAAGATAAAAAATCAAATCATTGGTGGTTTGGTGGTGGTACTGATATGACACCATATATTCTAGATGAACAAGATGCCCGGCATTTTCATCGTCAATTAAAACAAGCATGTGATAAACATGATTTAAATTATTATCCAAGATTTAAAAAATGGTGTGATGATTATTTTCATATTCAACATCGTAATGAAAGACGGTTTGTATTTTTTGTTTTTTCTGTTTGTCAATTTATTAATTTTGTAATTTTCTTTTACAAACAGTGGTATTGGTGGACTATTTTTCGATGACATTGATTATCCGGATCAAAAACGTGCCTTTGCATTTATTAAAGATTGTGCACATTCATTAGTACCATCATATATACCGATTATTGAACGTAATGTTCGAAAACCATATTCATATAATGATCGTCAATGGCAATTAATTCGTCGTGGTCGTTATGTTGAATTTAATCTTATTTATGATCGTGGTACAAAATTTGGCCTAATGACACCTGGTGCACGTTATGAAAGTATACTAATGTCATTACCATTAGTTGCACGTTGGGAATATCAACATCAAGTTGCTGAAAATTCTAAAGAATCCAAATTGATGGAGGTTTTAAAAAATCCACGTGAATGGGTTTGACAAGAAAAATAGTGATGGACTGAAAACAAACACACAAAAAAAATTCCAGAGCAAAAAACCACTAATTTTATTAAATTCAGAATTTGATATTTTTTTAAATCAATTTAAAATGAAAATTTTCATTTACGCCAACCACCAAGCCATCCTTTAACCATACCGGTTAGACCGGCTTGTTGACCACCTTGTTGTTGTGCTTTATTAGCATTAATTTCTTCATCCAAATTAGGAAATTTGATATGATTTAATGCTAAATCAAAAAACAATGGTTTAGCAGGTATAGCACGATATTCCGATGGAAATTTTACAAATGATAAATTTCCATTCAATAATTCTGGATCATCAATAAATGTATCAAGACGTTCAATCAATGGCTAAATGAATGAAAAACAAAAACAGAAATTATTAAGGGTAAAAAATCACCAAAAATTACCTTATCACCAAGTATCGGTGATTGTGGTGTTGTTGCCAATTGTTCGGTTGTATCTTTTGAAATATTTTCACCATAAATTTGAAATGTTTCAGTATTTGCTTTGTTCAATAATTTTTGTATTTCTTGTTTAGTTTCCTAGTTTTGTGAAAATTGATTAAGATTTTAAAATATTTTTTTTGTTGAAAAAAAGGGTTATATAACGTAATTTACCTTTGAAATATATTCACTTTCAATTGATTGTTGACAATAATATGTTGAACGATTTAACATTGCAATTGATTCTTTCCAATTTTCTTTTGCAACATGTGCAATATAATAACAACGATATGCTTTATATGCAATGATTTCGGCATCAATTTCAGCCAAAAATTTTTCCACTAAAAATGTATCCGTAAATGATTGTGATAGATTCATTGATTTAATTTCATTATAACATCCAATAATTGCTTCATATTGCCGGAGTAGATCGGATGGATTTTGTAATGTTGTTATTAGTAAACGATTTCGTTTAATAATTAAATCCAAACGTAAATAAGTAAGATAAAAATATTGTGATGATTTATCTAAATTATTATCACGTAATAATTGCAGACAGTCACGACAATCAAAAATCATTTGTTCAAAACAATTAAGTTGATTCCAATCATTATTTGGATCTTTTAGTTGTTCTAAAAATTCAAGAATTTTATCATGTTTTATAAACATTGTTTTACCCAACCATTCAATATCGAATGAATCTGGTTGTTTTTCCGATGTTTGACTGATCAATTGCTGTGTGAGAGGGAAAAAAGGATTAACTTTCAGGAAAAACCAACAAAATTCAGCCGAAAAAAACTTACATCAATTTTATTGGATAATGTTTGATCATTTTTAATTTCTTTGATCAATTCTTTGGCACCAATTTTTTGTTCACCAATATTGAATGCACAATATCTTAATGTTGGTTTAATTTCATCGATACGTTGTTTATACCAGCTCATTTTTTCTTCATCTTTCAACACTTTATATAATTGTTCATAAATATTTTTAGCCGAATTCAATAGATCGGATGCCTGTTGCCATTGATCTAATTCAAAATGATAAAGACCTTTCAAATAATCAGCATATGCACAGGTTTCCAATTTGGTTCGTGCATCACACCGACTGTTTTCATCATTACAAAGATCACGTAATCTGGATGACCAATAAACAGCTTTACGTAAACGTCGAATCATATGAAATTTTCGACGAGTTTCCGTACTTGCTTCTTGTTTACATTGCATAGCATATGCCCAACTACGTTCAGCACAAATCAATGGAATGTAAAGATATTTGTGAGCATTTTTGGAATTTTGAATTTTATCATCATTGAATGCAATCTGTGGTGTAACTGGTTTCGGTTGATAAATTGTTCGATTTTTTGATCCAACACTTTGAACAAAACCTAATGCTTTACGAATTCTTCGTAAACGTTTTGCACAATATTGTCGATAACGTTGATAATCACCATGTTTCAAACCATGTTGAAGTTGACTTTGTTTAATTATGCATAATACTGATGATTTGTAAAGGAAAAATTATCATTTTAAAGGGAAAAATGAACAAACAACAAACCTTCAAGTGTAAGAACATTATTCTGATCATCATTGATTGTTGTTGATATTTCTTGATTGGAAATTTGTTCAATTTTTTCTTCCATTTTTTTAAACAATAAAAAAATTATTTGATTAAGGAAATCCAAACAAACAAAAGCAAAAAATGTTGTTTATCGAAACGTGTCGTAAATAAAAAACGAATAGTATCGATTAGAATTTTTTGGATTTCGTCCATCACCCACTCTCTGAAAATCATAAGGAGGTTGGACATCATTTTTTTTTCTTCAACAAATTCCAAGTTCAAATGTTTTAATTTTCAATAAATCATCTTTTCCGTTTCGAAACAATGTCCGATTATATTCCGAAAAATTCAAACAAAAGAAATCCTTATCTGTTTTCGGAAGAATCACAACCATCACAAACATTCATACAATCAACACAATTAGCTCAAACAAATGATCCAAATTTTTCGGATTTTTTTCGTCCTCCGGATAATGATATTGGCCATGATAATCAATCATATTTCGAACCACCATCACCAATTCAAACATTAGATGAACAATCTACTTATAAAGTTCATGATTTTGATTATCAATTAGGTAATAAACAGATTGGTGTTGTTAATCCATCAAGACCGCTATCAGCGTCTAAAGATGATTTGGCATTGATTGAAAATTCTCGTTCAAATATTTTATCAATAATTTCATTATTAAATGAATATGTTATTAGTCATCCATTTATGGTTGTTCGTCGACAAGCTCAGGTTTGAAAATTTATTTTAAATTTCGAATGAATTTAACTTCAATTTTTTTTTTGCTATCTTTCGAAATCAAAAAGGTAAACAATCGAAGTCATGCCTATCATCTGACACCATTCACTGTCATACCATTTATGTTACGATTACAAAGTAAACAAGGAATATCAACATTTTTCAAAGGTTTACCCACTGTACTAATTAATCATGTTCTTCTTGTTGGAACTGAATCATTTATTTATAACCTGTTGCAATTTCCAATGTAATTATAAATTTTGTCTTTTTTTTTAAATTAATTAATTAATTTTAAATCATTTTGTTTCAGTGAATTTGATTTTGGTTCAATTGCAAGTCTGTTATCGATTCGTTTTGTTAAACATTTAGCATTGAAAAGTTTAGCCATAATGATTGTAACACCATTTTATTGTTCAAGTAGTATTGAAATGGTACAATCATGGATTGTTGGTGAATCACCATATCCATTGGAACATATTAAAGAAGGTTTATTACGTATTGTACATTTTCGTAAAGATAGAAAATTACCAATATATCGTTTGATTGGTCCTAGCATTATATATCATCTTTGTTATTATGTTTTGCATTCATTCATACGTCAAGCTATTCTACAATACTACTTTGATGATTCGGATATTGAAAAGAAATTAGTTCAATCAAAAACAACCATCCCAACTGAATATCAATTGAAACAATCACAACTATATGATGAACCATATCCATCACATTTGACTACGATTGATCAAACAACGACAACAAAAACAATACGATTGAAAAAATTATCCGATAATACAATAATGAATGAATTGAAAAGTTCATTCTATGCACATATATTGACCGATATAATAATGTATCCATTTCAAAATATACTTTATCGATTATTTTTACAAGGAACCCGGACATTAATCGATAATGTTGATGGTCGTACTGCTGTTATACCATTAATAACTAATTATGATTCAGCATCGGATTGTTATCAAACAATTTTGCAACAAGAAGGTAGTAGTGGCTTATTTAAAGGTTTTGGTGCACTGATATTACAATATACAGTACAAGCATCAATCATCCATTTGACTACCTATTGTATTGATATGATTTTGAATAATTGATTTTTGTTTTTGGGATAACTATTGGATAAAATTTTATTTATTGTCAGTGATAATAATGATTATAATAATAATAAAAATAGTCAATAAATAATCGATTGATAAATTATGAAAATTTTATATGTTTATTTGGTGTTGTTTTTTTCCCAGATAAATCTATGGAAATTTTTTGCTTTTCTTTTGATTGCATTCGGGCTTGCCATGATGGATGAATCTTAGCTGAATCAGATGATTTAGTTTGATGTTGATTATCAACATCAAAATATCTTTGACGTTTAACATTCGGTGTAAATGATTTATTATTTTGTTTTGAATAATTGATAAATGATTTTCTACTATTATTCATCGATGATGATCGATCGAATGAAGTTGATTGGGAAATTTTCTTTTTATAACCACCACCACCACCATTAAATCGTTTATGTTTTGCATTCGCAGTGTCATCATCATCATCATCGGATATATCACGCATTTGAATGAAATCTTGTTCGGTATTATCGTTCAGTTGATTATCGTTTTGTTCGCCGAGAAAAAATCCATCATTTATACGTGTTTTCTTCGGAGATATTTCTTGGTCATCATTTTTGATGTCATCCTCATCGTCGTCGATAATTATATCTGATTTTGAATTCAAATCAATTCTTTTGATTACGGCAGATTTAGTTTTTACAGAATTAGAAATTTGATTATCTTCTTGTTGTTGTTTCAATTGTGTAACCTGAAATGTTGGTGTAAAAGATTTTGGCGATTTTTTCGACGATGACGATTTTGGATTTAATTTTTTCATTGCCGATTTTGGTGTAGATGGCATTTTTGAATCGCTTAACGGTGATTCTTGTTTTGGTTTCTTTTCTTTCATGTTATTCACAGTAGGCGAAATGTTTTTCGGTTTATCTTTTTTTCCATTCTGTTGTCGTTTATCAACAACAGCAGTTTTGGTTGAATTTTTACCAAATTTATTTTGACGTTTTTCTTCCCAAAGTTCAATCTGTACGGGTAACCATTGTTCACAGCCAGGATTTTCCAGGCGAAATTTCTTTACAATCAATTGAATTTGTCTTTGTTGACAAACACGTGCTATTAATCGATCGGCGACTGGAATGTTTGACTTTTTCAATAATGAATCAAAATATTCTTCATCATGAATTAAAGCCTGTTTGGAAATTGTATCCGGTGTAATTGGTTTCAATTCTTTTGCATCAATTTGTCTTGATTGTAATTTACGATTCAATTCATTTAAATGTCTAATTGAAAATGAAAAATTAGATTTAGAAAACTATAGGAAAAAAAATTCTTACTTTTGTTTTGTATCATTATCAACATTGTCAAGATTTTCCCATTTAATAATCTTCTTCTTAATCTGATTAATTTGTCGATAAAGTTTTTGAAAAATACGGTTACGAGCAATTTTCACTGGTTTTCGCATCGAAACAATCTGATGATTAACTAAATTTTTATCCATTTTTTTTTCTTTTCGATCCGAATCGAATATTTACGAAGAATTCAATGTTGTTTTTTTTTTGCCGTGGAAAGCACGTTTTTCTTTTGATTATCACATCAGCTATCGCCATCTAGTGATTTTTAAATTTACAAAAGAAGTAAAAATCTTTTTTCAATGGAAGTTAACGGAAATTATAAATTGACCACCATATTTTTTTGTAAAATAATCTAAATTTTTATTTTAAATTTTGTAAAGACATTTTTTAATCTAATTAATTTTTTTTTTTGGTTTTATTATAGACAGGATCTATAATTCATCTTTTTCATTATTACTACCACTTTTATCAACAAAATATTTTGCCAACCAATCATGATATTGTTTTGACCAAATTTTTTCACAAACATCTTTATAAATATCTTTTTCGATACGATGTTCAATGTCAAGAATCATCCAATTCATTGTTGATGATGATGATAATTGATTATCATCAAATGCTTCAGGCCATTCCAACGAAGAACCAATTGGACTTGGATTACCAGTTTTTGCAAAATTTGTCCATGAATTCATTATATCGATACTTAATTGGGAATCTTTTGGATATAATGTCAACATTGAATTACTAAATACATAAAGTATTTCACTAGCATGACAAACACCCATCCATTCATAACAATGCATACGATCCGAAACTAATGTTCGATGATCAAAACGATATGCATAAAAATGATTTTTAGGATTTGCTCTGGCCATTTGTTGACCATATAACATTACCGGACAATTGAATCGTAAATCACCAAACATATCGGAAAACATTTTCCTTACTTGATTAAAATCATTAATATCAATTTGTTTCAGATAATAATCTTCAATTTCTTTATGATCCTCAATATGATATGATGACAAAATTTTTCGTATATTTTTACGAATTTCTTCTTCATTCATTACCGTATTATCATCTTTAAGTTCAGGTACAAAATGTACAACAAAATAACTACCTTCATCACGTGTTACACCAAACATTATATCTACCGGGCCATTTGAACCATATTTAAATTTCAATACATCTTCCGGTAGAAATGCATCACCTAAAATCGGGCCAATCATTTGATTCGAAATCATTTCTTCTATGTTACCAGTTGCAACATCCACTATTTCTTCCATTGATTTACTACGTAGACAATCGATTACTGTTGATATTTCTTCATTATCATCAACTTTACAATTTAATTTTTTTGCTAAATTTTTAGTTTTGTCTAATGCACCTTGTTTATTAGAAAATCTAACAGTTGGTACAATGGTACCGGATTGCATTATTGCACGATGAAATAAACCTTTTGCCAATGGTGATAGTACTAATGCTGAAACTGAAAATGAACCGGCTGATTCACCAAATATTGTTACCTGGTTAGGATCACCACCAAAATTTTGAATATTATCTCGTACCCATTCTAATCCCATAATTTGATCATAAAATGCTTGATTACCAGGTATATCATCGGTACCGGCATAAAGAAAACCAAATGGACCAACACGATAATTAATAAAAACAACCAAAACATTACCATAATTAGCCAGATATGTTCCATCATAAAGTGGAAAAAATATTGTACCGCATTGAAAACCACCACCATAAAACCAAACCATTACTGGTAATAATTTTTCACCACCATCACCATTACTATCATCGGTTTTCGGTGTTGGTGTATAGACATTCAAAAACAGGCAATCTTCACTTTTATTTGTCTTGTGATATCTATCCGTATTACCAAGACCACCTAAAAATTGTGGACATGAATTTCTTTCCATTATAGCATCATAAATTTCTTCATCAAATTTTTCAACACGTACTGGTTTGGTAAATCTTTCGGCCGTTGCTTTTTTTCAAAAAGTGGTGAAAAAGAATTAAAGAATTTTGAAAATATGAAAAAAAACAAAAATTACAAACCATAACGAATTCCTTGATAAAGATAGGATTTTGTCCACAAGCCAACCGTATTGACTAGACCACGAATTTGACCATGTTTTGTTTGAACGATTGGTGCATATTCAATGGCTGTTGATAATTTTATTGTCAATAATAATGAAAAAATACAAAGTACAAAAAAGTTTAAATTCATTTTTGCCAAATTTGTCTGTATAACGTCACTCTGTGTTAATGATCAACGACAAAATGACAACAACAACAAAACAAAACTGATTTAATTAAATAAGATTTTCTTTGCGTTTTTTTTCCTTCAATTTCGATATTTGATAACGGAAAAACACATAGACATAGAAAAACACTACACACATACACAACCAACCACAAGATAAACAATTTTTATCAATCAAAAGTTTTTCTGTGATTATCAATCAATCAATCAAAAGTTTATCAAAGAAAAAAAGGGGGAATATTATTATTATTATCTTTTATTTATATATTTTCAAATGACAGTTTTTTTTAAAATTATTTATAAATTACAATGGTTAACAGAAAAAAGAAAAATCAATTCCAAATCAAAGATCAAGATCAACAGTAAATCTTTTAACACTTAATGTTGGTGAATGTAAAGCATTTGTATTGGTTATGTTTGTAATATTAATAACCGAATGATTATTAATAATTGGTATATTATTATTATTCGTATCAATATTATTATTATTATTATTTTGTTTTGGTTTAGTTAAAAGTCGAGTACAAAGGAAATCCATACAAATTGCACCTAATGGTGCTGTAATCAATATTGATAATGCAGCAGCAGTTAAAATAACTTTACCATTTTGTATATCCAAATCAGTTTGTGCTATTGATAATGCTGTTGGTCCAATAGCAGCCTGTACAGTTGCTTTTGGCATCCATGCAAATGCAATAAATAATCGTTCTTTATGATTTAAACCAATATTGAATGTAACCAAATATGTAACAATAATTTTCAATACAATACCAATCATAAGACAACCAATAGCTTTACCAACAATATCAGCATCCAATGTTTGAAATTTTAATTCACAACCAATCAAACAAAACAAGAATCGTTTCAATATAAGCCATATAATTTTTAAACTATGTTCATTATCTTCTTCCCAACAATTTTCACGCCATTTTATTGTTGCAACAAATGCCATTATCAAAATGGCCATTGGTCCAGCTGCTTCCATTTCAACATAAATACTACCAAACAAAGCAAACATACCGGCCATAAGTAGTAATGAAAATCGTGAAATATGATGTTTTTTACTATCATTTTTATCACATTTATCATATGTTTCAGGTAAATACCAAAGAATCCAACCCATTATTAAACCGAATGCAATACCGATTATAATTTGTAATGGTCCTTGAATGATTTTCATTGTTAATGACATATGTTCAGATTTTTCAGTCGGTATTGCAAATCCTAAGAATATATTAAAACCGGTAACCGATAGGACATCATCAATACTTGCTGCAGCAATATTTAATGTTGGTATTCCTTTTCCTTCACTCAGTCCAGATTGTTGAATGCGAATCATACATGGAACAACAACCGCTGGTGATACAGCAGACATTACAAATCCGATTAATAATGACCACATAAATGTAAATTGAAAAAATATTATCGAACAAATGGCAACGATAAATGTTTCGGCAAAAAATGGTATAGCAATAACTCGAATGGCTGAAAATGATAGATAACGTAAATATTCGGGTATCAAATGCAAACCGGCACGTAACAATATGATCAACAATGCTAATGAACGTATGGTTGATAAAAGTTGTTTATCCAATTCTAATTCAACAAGATTTCCATATAGAATTCCTTTATAGAGAGATTTTATTAAAGTGAAAATAAAAAACATAAAGAATTTCGTCAATTACTTACCAGCACCTAACATTCCAAGCAATGATGGTAGATTGATAATATGAAAAATTTTACCAAATAAATGTGCCAATATAAATAGGCAAAACATATGAAATAGATCACCATTTGGTGGTAATGCTTTTTCATTGAAAAATGCAACCAATGTTAAATAAACAAATGTAAATAGAAAAATTAACCATAAAATATAACGAAGATATGGTAGGGTTAAAATTTCTTCTTTTGTTTCTTTTAATCTTTTTAACATTTTGAATGGATGTGAATCGGGGCAAAGAAATTCTTGATGCTGGAAAAATCGAAAATCGAAAAATGCCACTTTATGTCAATTCGAAATGAAAGCTGAATTTTTTCTTAAAATTTAAAGTTGAAAAAAATTTTATTAAATTTTTTGAATAATAGCAAACAACTGACATGGACGGATAAAACAATCGGATTTTGGTTTTTGGGTTTTCAAAGAAAGAAATAATAAGAAGAAGAAGAAATCGAAATCCAAAATTAAAAACGGCTTTATATTGTCACACACACAAACTAAACACACACACAGGTAGGTTATGGTTTAGGTATATGAAATTGATGTTATGGAAAAAAAGATATTTTATTCCCAAAAAAACGTGATCAACGAAGTGAATTTCATTTAATTTTTGTTATTGTTTTTGTATATGGTGTGTGTATGTTGTTCAGGTTAATCATACCGATTAAAATGATCAAATGAAATTTTACCCTTAAAACAAAAACACCTAAATTCAATGATTGGATTGGATGCTGGATGCTGGATGCTATGCAATTCATAATGACGATTGGTTGGTTGGTTGTTAAAGCAAAAAAAAAGGTAAACGTAAGGTGAGATAATGATAATAATAATAAAAAAATAATTATCAAATTCAAAAATTTATAGAATATTTATAATTATAAAATTATAATAATAATCAGGTAATTATGATTATAATAATAAAAAATTTCGTTATCAACCTCGTTATCTTTCTGTTGTTGTTGTTGTTGTTGTAAAGATTGTTTTCGTTTGTTACCTGTATTGTGACAAATGTAATAACCGTAAAAAAAATCATCTAATCATCATCCTATAATCTGGGTGATGATTTTTGTTTTTCAGGTTCATTCAAAAAAAAAAGTGAGAAAAAAAAAAGAATTTATTATTCACCATCACCACCGGGTGACAATGATAATGACAATGAAAAAAAATGTTTTCGACGACGATGATAATGATGATAATAAATCCAGTGAACAGTGTGGTACGATATGACGACAACTTGGCGGAGGTCATTCATCATCATCATCATTCATTCATGTATACCCGGTTTTTTTTGGTTCTTTTTCTTATCGCGAATCTTTATTATCTTAGTTTATTAGATTGATGTTTTTTTTGTACGTGCTTGTTGTTGTTCTCCGATGAAATTTAACATGTAAGATTTTCAATTTTGTTGATGAAAATGGATTTAAAAAAAATCTGGTGTCACATGACTGATTCTTTTATGATGATGATGATAATAATTTTGGGTTTTTTTTAAAAATCGGGTAAAACGGATGGTGGTCAACATTATAATTATGTTTATAATGATAAGATTTGAGCATTATCAAAAAAAAGTTTAAAAGCATCATCCTTATCTCTTGTTAAACCATTGTATTTTTTTGTTTGCCCAACCACCCCAGATATATTAATTGGCGTCATGTCTTTGATAATAAAAAACTTTCCAAAAATTTCAACATCCGTTGTTGTTGTTGTTTTTATAATTTCTGTTTCTTAACACTGTCAAAACGTGATTTTTATTATTATCGCTTTTTTTTGTTGGTTAAAAATTGTAAATTATAATAAAATTACAATTACAAATCAAATCAATTAACCCTAATGAACATTGAACCTTCATTGAATTATAAATATGAATGTACCAAACTGAAACATCACTTTTTACGTTTTCTTGTATATGTGATGTACGACGATATGAACCGGAAAATAAATCATTTTTTTTTAAATTTCCACCTGACATACTAAACTAACTAACTAAGCTAACCACCTGTGCGTATTGCACAATTTTTTTGTTTCCCGAAAATTCATTTTCAATCTAAATATATTTTCAAACGAAACAAACGGCGCATCATTTTCCTTTTTTTAAACGCCTGAATGTTGATAATGTTGAGGAAAAATATTTAAAAAAATCTTCATTCATTTACACATCACATGGTTGATTTGAAAAATTGAATATTTTTTTTGTTCAATCGTATAGAAAAAAACCCGAAGAGAGATGTTTGTGTTCGCTGGTATATAGGAAAACATCAAATGAGAGAGAAGGATGTTCAACCACCAATCAATTTGGATAGTGGTTATTTTTTTCATTTAACATTTTTTTTTTTTGGCCATGTTTAAATGTTTTTAACGTCGTCGTCGTTGTGGCGGTGGTGGTGGTTCGTCGTTGTAATCAATATTTTTACCACAAGCGCTATATATATGAAGAAGTGAATGAAGAACATGATGATGAAGAAGAAATCATGTTTTTTTTTTAATTCACTTATTATATAACCAAAACATTAAATATAGCAGAAACAAACAAACAAACAAACAGGCAGAAAACGAAGAAGAAGAAGCAATAACAGAAAAAAAATAACTACCCGAAACAACAACAACAACCAAAGATTTTATCTTTTTCGTGAAAAAAGTACAGACTTTCTGAAAACAAATGCGAATGCGAAACAAATGCCAAAAACCAAAAAAAAAAACAAAGCAAAGCAACGGAATTTTGCTAAATTCTCCATTGAATTGAATGAAAATTTTCAATTGTCAATTTTGTATACATAGAGTTTGTCTTTTTTCTTCTTCTGTTTTGTTTTTTTCACCATTATTTCGACAATTTTCTTACCTGATTTGCTGTTTCCAAAAATTTCACCTTGATTCAAATTGATTCATTTCATATGACATTCATTCATTCATCTTAATCAATAAAAAGAAAGACTTTTGTGTGTAAAAGACTTCTGTCTGTGTGTGTAAAATAACTGTAAATGTGGTGACATTGAACATTGTTTCGTTGTCATTGTTTTTTCATGGAACAACAAACAGCAAAATTTTTTTCCTTTGAAAAAATCTGAAGAGAAACAAAATCCTGTATCAATCAACCAGAAATGAACTGACTGTGTGTGTGATTTGTTTTGCTGGAAAAAAACAACGACAATAGCAAAACACAAAGCAACCAAAAACATCAAGTGACAGTTATTTTATTTTGAAATTGATGAAAATGGATTGAAAAAAAGCTACGTCTTTTGTTTTTCAAATTCTTTATATGCATCATCATTATCGTTTTTTGGTTTTTTTTTGGTGATTTCTTCTAATTATCAAATGTGAAAACTCGTTTTTGTTATCAAATTTTCAACAATCTGTTCAACTTTATCCATTTGATCATTGACAATATTTTCTGCTTTTCCTTTTTAAAAAATTCAAAATTTTTTCAAAAAGTTAAAAAATTCACACTAGTCTAGTTTTGTTTCGAGCTCAAAAGATGTCGCCCAAATTTCATATGGTAAGATTCGAATATTTTTTTTTTGTTTTTTGTTTAAATTCGCAAACAAAACATTCCAAAAAAGTTAATGGCCGTCGTCGTCAAATGTTTCATGAATTTTCTGAATTTTCAAGTTAAATAATAATGGTGACATGGGAAAAATGTCAACAAAAATATTTTAACCCGATAACAAAACAAAAAAATGAAGAAAAAGAAAAATAACTTAATCGGGTGTGCCCAAAACCAATCACGAAATCATCATCATCGATATCGATAAAAAACAACAACAACCGATGGGTTCGCGTCGTTATACGATATTTTTGTTTTTGTTTTATGTTTTTTCGAACAAAAAACCGTACTAATCAATTTAATCAATAGTGATGATATCGAAGATATTCATCACCATCGAAGATATTCGATAACAACAACAAAAAATAAACAAACAAAAAACTATCATCGATAATAATGAATGGAAGAAGAAGAAAAAGAAAATCACGATTAAAAATTTATCCAAAAAGAAAAATATGACCACGAATGGATGGATGGATCATTGCAAAAATGTTTTTTTAAAAAAATTTATAAAATGATTTGACAAAAATTTTCGCCGAAAAAAAGAAAAAAGATGTCCAATAATCGCAAATGATGATGATGATGATCATCGTTATGATTTGGTGGTATGCATATCGAATTGCTTTAGCATATTTTTCAAAATGAATCTATGAAAATATATCATCATATTGAATGCCTTGGTGTTTCTTCTTTTTCGAAAATTGGTTTTCATTTTTTTTGTTTTCTGGTTTCGCCAACATCATCATGATCAAGCTTGAAATGAATTGAAAAATATCATCATCATCATTGTACAACAACAACAAAAAAAAAGTTCATTGTGCCCGATTTTGTTTCCCTAAAGATTTAATCAAAACATTTTTTTTTCATTTCATTTTTGTTTAATTTATCGAAAATTTAGAATTCACCTGTTTGGCGTATTGGTACATCACGATCATCATTAATGATGTCTGATCATTCATTTTTATATGTTATGGAACGTGGTACATCACCAATCGATTGGTGTGAATTTAATTATACACATACACCATTTATAGCCGAATTGATCAATACGGTTTGTGTTAGCAAAACATGAAAATATCTTTTCTAATAATATTTATCCTTGTTTTTCTTTTTCTTCCATAGACTTCCAATATATTATTTTTAATATTTCCGCCAATATTATGTCAATTATTTCGTCAATATGCAAATAATATTGATCGTGGTATCTATATTATTTGGACATTATTTGCTGTTGTTGGTATTTGTTCAGCATATTTTCATGCAACACTTAGTCTACTTGGACAATTATTAGATGAATTAGCAATATTATGGTTATTAGCATTTGCATTTGGTATGTGGCTGCCAAGAACATATTATCCAAGATGGATTCATAATGATAGGTATGTCAGTGGTTTTGATTGATTTTTACAATGATAAATTGTTTTTTTTTCATACAGGAAAAAATTCAAAAAAGTCATGATGCTAATCAGTGTTATTGCTTCATTTGCTGCATTCATTTATCCATGGATTAATAGTTTTGCATTGATGACATTAGGTATACCGACATTTTTTCTATTAACCAAAGAAATACGACAATGTCGTATACAAAGGATTCGTCGTTTAGGATGGCGTTGTTGTATTTGTTGGATTGCAGCCGTAACAAGTTGGATATTAGATCGTATGTTTTGTGATACATGGTCAGCATATAATTTACCATATTTACATGGTGTTTGGCATATAATGATTGCTATTGCATCATATACTGTTTGTGTTTTATTTGCATATTTTGATGCTATTCATAATTATCAAGATTTATTACCGGTTATTAAATTTTGGCCACAAGATAAAGATTATGGTATACCATATATTGAATTGAAAAATGCTGCTTAAAACAAAACAAAACAAACAACAAAATCAATCAATATAACAATATAGAGAAATCGATTATCTCCATCAATCCATCCAATCAATCCAATTCAACCAGATTAATTTAATCATAATATTCTAGTCTAATTACTAATTATTTTGTTATCATTATCATTTATATTTTGTTTCCTTTCAATCAATTCAATAATAATAATAATCAATTATCGATTTCTGTATTCAAAACAAAAAAAAATCTTTATTAGAATTGAAATGAATGTTTTGTTTTTTGGATTAATCAAACTTTTTCCCACAAAAAAGAAAGAAAGAAAATGATTAAATACAAAAAGAGTGATTTTTTTAAAACAAAATTTTGAAGCAACTATGTTTTTTTCACTGTTCAACTGTGTAATTATCATATTATGGTTAGAAAAAAGAAAAGAAAAATATAGATGAAAAATCTGATCGTTTTAGAATCGATTTTTTAATACATCAGAAAATCTTCGTCCACCCATTGGACGTCGTCGTTGATTGTATGACGAACGTACTGTACCACCAACAAGACCTTTAAATTGTTCACGCAATTTTTTCATATCCATATATTCAGCCAATTGATAATTGAATAATACTTTAAAATTATCAACATTTTCACGATTACCAAGAATATTTAACATAAATGTTTGATTAGTATTTGTTGTTGAACGATTTCTACGATTATCATGTTGATAATATTGATGATGATGATGAGGATCATCATTTGTATATGAATCATTTGGTTCCAATGGAATTAATTCAAATTTTATGATACCAGTTTTATCAACCAATTCTTGCATAATTAATTCATCATTAAAAAAATTCATATTTTCTTCAGCAATTTCAATCGATTCTTGTACAATATTCAATAAATTTGCTGCTTGTTGACAGGCTTCCATATTATTACCTTTAATAATAAAGCTACTAATATGATCATAAAGTTCAACCGATTGAATACCATCAATTTCACGTGCTTTTTTAATATTTGAACCTTGTTTACCAATAGCTAAACCAAGTAAATTTTTTGCAACAAAAACACGTAAAGATGATTCGTTTGGATTTTGATTTTGAATCGGTGGCATCAGATATTTATTAAGTGAATGTGTTTCTTTCAATGCACGAAAATGAAAATCCGATAACATTTGACATTGATTGTTGAATTTTTTCTTTGAATATTCTGTACAATCGGGTGTATAGCCAAGACAAATCAATAGTTTTTTTTCATCATCATAAGTAATATTGATTAAATTATCAACATTTTTTCGAAAACGTTCATGAAAATCAACATTACAAAGCCATTTAGAATCACCTTGTTGAAGAAAAAATGGTACAGCCAATTCGGTACGTGCAAATGGATTATTAGCAACTGTTACATCATTCAATGGTTTGAATGAATTTGGTGGTCGACTATCTTTACGACTGATTACATCCAATTCTTCCACAGATTTCGATTCAATTGTTTGACCATTTTGATCAAAATATTCAACCACGGCTTCGGTATCGGTAAATTTTTTAATTTTGGCCAATTTCCAAGCAATAAATTTCTCATTTCCATCGACAGTCATTACTTCGATTATGCTATTTTCTATTTTTTTCGAAATAAAAATCAATAAAATATGGTCAGTGAATTTGTTGAATTGATAAAAAAAACATACCTGCAAACAATGCAACTTGTTTGGGATTCGGTTTCAAACGAATCTGATTTATTGGCAATTGATGGCAATGTTTTTTCTGTGATATTGTAATCGATACGGGTTCATTTTTGATTGCCATAACAATTTTTGCCATTAAAATTTGCTTTTCATCATCACCATCACTGCTGCTGTTCTTGTTGCTTTTTTCATTATCAACATTATCACCATCATTGGCGGCAATTTCAACATTTTCTTCTGGAGCTGATGATGATTGTGATTGTGATGGTTGTACATCTAGGATATAGGCATCATACCAAACATTATTACTTTGACCATCCGATTCTGATGAAAGATTAATTTCAATAAGTCCATTCTCGAATGAAGGATCCATATTTGCACAAATTTCTTCCAAAAAAACAATTTTTGTAATGAAAAACGAATGTTACAAATTCAATAGACCAAAATTATAAAAAAAGAAATAAATTTAATTATAACTTTGTTTTTCGGTTGGAAATTGTTGAAAAATTCTAAAACGAAATTCACTAATCAACAACAACGCATGAAAACGAAAAAAAAAGAAAAGGAAAATAAAGGAAATTGAATACACACACACAGTGTTAAAACGGAAAAATCGAACGAGTAAAGAATCGATTCTAAAACAAAACGAAAAATCGATTGTTAACAATCGATTGTTTAGTGTTTTTGTTTTCGCGCGATTTGAATTTTTTGTTTTTGTCCACCGAAAAAAACAAAAACAAAACAAAACAAATTTGGATAAAAACTTGAAATTTTCTTTTATTTACTTCCTCGATAAAGGACAATCGGTCACCGATGACAAAATAATAGTTTTCTTCTTTTTCTGTCATCAAATTACAAATAATATTATCAAAAAACAAACAACAACAACAAAAAATTATTGATCACTTTGAATTTTTTGTTTTTGGGCATTCTATTCGTTTTATTTCGACATTGGAAATATCAAAATGACCATCATTATTATCATCATCATCGAGAGAGAGAAAGATAAATATGGAATCATCGTTTTCGGTAAGTTTGATTTGATTGATTTGTTTTTGTTTGATTTTCTTTCCTTAACTCAGATTTGAATTTAATTTCCTGCAAAAATTCAAAGCAAAAATGTTTCTTTTTTTTTGCTACCGTGTGATGATGTATCTCAATCCGATAACGATAATGATGATACTAGTAGGGTAGACGGGGGGTTAATTTTGTTTGTTATCACATCACGAATTTGTAATTTAAAAAACAACAAATCAAAAATGAATGTGAGAAAGACAAAAAGACAATTTGTATTTTATTAAATGTAAAACAAAAAAATGATAAATGAAATGGACAAAATGGACAATCAAAAGAAAACTTTGAAAATTCAAAAGATTAGCATCATTTTTCTCATCAACTTTGGTGATGATACTTCCGCTGTCACGTTGTGTTAAGTGTTTTTTTTCAGCATCAGTGTTGTTGTTGTTGTTGTCAATTTAATTAGATTTAAATTAACCATCACCATCACCAAGGTCTTCCTGGTTTTTTTTGAATGTTCCTCATATTCATTTCATTTGATTTGATTGATGGTTGAAGTAAAAAAAAATGAATATTCCTGTTTTCAAAAGGGATAAAACCAAAAAAAAAACAAACAACCGTAATCACAAGACAAGAATTTGTTCGTTTTGCGTAATTTGGTAATTTTAATTTACCTTTATATGTAGGTGTTTTGTTTTTTGTCTTTTGTTTTGATGCTTAAATCAATTTTTGAATTAACCAAGCCACCCCACCGCAGGTGATATTTAATTTTCACCCGAAATTTTTTTCAAATTTCATTTCGTGCGTATCCTACTACACACATATCACCGAAATCCACAAATGATATGATTGTTTTTCTTTCTTTCAAAGTTTTATGCTGATGATGATGACAATTTAATGATTGTCTTTGTGTGTGTGTGTGTGTGTGAGTGTAGGGGGTTTATTTCTTTTTTTTCCAACTTGAAATTTCAAATCAAATCAAAAAGATGCTTTAATTCCAAAATTAACTATTACCCCATACCCTAGGATAAATAATATACCCTAGATATCCTTTGAAAACGACAACAAAACAGAAAAGAGTTTAATTTTAAGTAAATCGAAAAATCAAGAAAGTGGTTTCAATGTTTTTATTATTATTATTATTATTATTTACATAAATAAACCGACGACGAATGTGACATGTGAAAGGGGTCACATCATATTTGAAACTTTTTTTTTACATAAAAGATAATTATCATTATTTTAAAACATCGACAATAACGATGATGGTCATGAATATACCATACATCCTTATTGTTTTTTTCGTTTCGTTGTTGTTTCAATAAATGGGATAATCACCAAAAAGCATAATGTTCTTTTGGGATTCTCTCGATCAGGAAGAAAAAGGACAAACAGAGAGAGATCAGTGAACCTTAATTACAAATACGTGCCTAGTCGATTTATTTATTTTTTCTTGTTTGGTAATGAAAAGAATAACAATTCTAGAAATCGTAGTTATCCTGCATGTTGATGATGATTATCTCAATGTATTTCATTACATGTTTTTCCTATATGAAGAAACAAAAGTTAATGATGATAATTGTATCAAAACGAATCGAAACTATGAATATATTCAAACCGATCGACCGACTACTGAAATCCATTAATTTCTTTCTTTTTCTTTTTCTTTGTTTGATGGATTGAATTTGAATTGAATTTGATTATTGGAGCGATTGTGAATCTAATTGAATTTTTAAAGAAAAAAAAACATCCATTTCAAACAATCAACACGGCTGCACCCAATCGGTAATTCTTTTATGAATTTTTGATTCTTCTCGGATTACATAATGTTTTTTTTTTTGGTTTATGAAAATCGCATGCATTACACTTTTGGGTCCTCATCATATCCTCATCATCCTAAGATGATGAGGATGATCGGTCAGTTCAGTCCAGTCAGGCAATTTATTCATTTTACCATTGATGATGATGATGCTAATGTGTGTATGCAAAGTTGATTTTGATTTGTTTTGTCGAGGTTCATTGAGCAAATATTATGTAAATATATTTTATAATTTGTTTGTTGGTTGGTCAGATGGTGAGACCGTGTATAATTTTCAAAAAAATTTTTTTTTTTTTTGAACTTGGGTCATTGCTGTTTGTGTGTGTTAGGTTAGGTTGATGACTATGACTATGACTATGATTCATAGTTCAGTGAGGTTAGGTTGATGACTATATGACTATGATTCATAGTTGAGTGAGGTTAGGTTGATGACTATGACTATGACTATGATTCATAGTTGAGTGAGGTTAGGTTGATGACTATGACTATGACTATGATTCATAGTTGAGTGAGGTTAGGTTAATAAAGTTTAAAAAAAAAAATTTTTTTTTTTATAAAAGTCATGACGTTTTATAACCTTGTAAATTTTTTTAAGTGCAAATATTTATTAGTAATGATAATGATTATGACATGTAATGAATCATTAAATTATATTAAATTACTCATCATATGATGATGAGTAATTAATAATTTTATTATTATTATTACAAGGTAAGATTATAAGATGCACTTAACATTCTCACATATACACAATTTTTGTAATTCAAATTATCATCAATAAAATTATATTATCAAATCATTTACAGGTTGTTAATGGTGGTTATAAAATGATAAATGATTAATTTACAAATGAAATTTGTCACATTTTTTTCGTCATTATTATCAACAGAATACAAAAAATTGGTTACAATTTTAACGGAAAAGATAAAAGAAAACCGAATGTATCAATTTTATTTGTTACATTTTCATTGATGATGATGATGATTGATTTTATCCATTGACATTTCAATCAATCGAATTCGAAAATGTCTAAATTTTTTTCGTTTTTCAATGATAGAAAAATCAATTGAATTTTCCAATTTTTTCAATTTGAAAATTGAATGTTACAAATTGAGAGATGGGCATTTTTCAACTTTGATTGACTTGACTTAACCTAACCTGATTCAAAAACTGTTGACTATAAAAAAAATGTCAACTGGAATGAATATATATCGGTCATTGTCAATTTGTAACGTGTAGTAGTGTAGCAGTAGTATGTTTGGCTACACATCATTATCATTTTTTTGAATTGAATAAATTACAATTGTTGTTGTTGTTGTTTAACAAGTTTATCAAACAACAACAACAACAACAACAAATAACAATATTTTAGCCGACAATCGATCCTCTGTATTCCTTATTTCCGAACATATTATACATACATGACCCATTAAATAATCAAAAAACCTGGTGATCCTGAATGATGATCAACAATGTTCGATGTTTCGGTGTGTAAAATGGTGTCAAAAATAATTTCGCTGCTTCTGCCTGCTTGCTTATTTTCAATGTTGCAGTCTAGTTAGATTTTGTTTGTTTTGCTTGCTTACTTTTTATCATAATTATATCAATAAATAGCCAAGAAGAATGAAATGAAACATCAACACCGAAACATTTTGCTGTTGCTGTTATTTAAACATTTTTGAAAATTATGACATTAATTGTGATTGATCTGTTTTTCTAGCTTGCTTCGTCGTCTTTCTTCTCTTTAGAGGATATACATCATCATTCTTTTTTTTCGACTATTTCGATCCTTCATGGATCATCATGATATTTTTCTCTTGTTGTTGTTAAGAATTTTTTTTTAGCTTCTTTTTTTTCTTCGAAAAAAAAATTGATTGAATTGTCTTGTTTACGGCGAAAATGAGATGCTTGTTTTGTTTTGTTTTGGTTGGTTGGTTGGTTGTTTTTTTTGGTAGAAAAAAAATGATGATGGCAATGATGATGATGATGATTGACAACGATGTCCAAATAGATCCGATAGACCGTAACATGGATAAGATCTATGGACCATCATCATCATCATCATCATCATAATTCGTGATTTCTGTTTGATCATAGGTATGTTTTTTTTGTTGGAAAACTTACGAAAATTTAAAAAAAAAACTCTTCAGTTCCGCCATGTCGACGATGTCGTCATCATCTTCAGGTAGCTTCGGACGCCGGATTGTTGTTGTTTGTTGTTTTCCTCCCCCTATTTTTTTCTGTTCAAATCATAATCACCACCATTATGATTATGATTATGATCATCATCATTTGGTTTCGGTTCGATTGGTTGTTGGTCATTTTTTTTTCTTCTCGAAAATATAATGTCTTTGTTTGTTCGAAGTGTTTATCCTAACCTTGTGATTCATAAAGGGGGTGGATTCTTTCAAAAAAAAATCGATTATATCGATTTTGTCGTTTGTCACGTTCGATTCGATTGTTCGAATCCGTTTATCATTATTATTATTATGGGTCAATCTTTTTTTTTCGATAACCAGGCCGTGAATATTCAAAAATATGTATTTTTGTTGTTGTTGAAACTAACAATTATTATTTGAATCTTACCTGAAGATTTACCTGGATATATGTGTGACC